GGGGGGGGGGGGGGGGGGGGGGGGGGGGAGAAACATGCACGTGAATGTAAGAGTGGCCAAAATAAGGTTATGACATTGTGTAACAGAAAGACTGGGATACAAGTGACCACAGCTCCTGGTCTCTTTCTCTGGTCTAGAAAATAAGAAGATTTAACTAGATTAAGAAGCCCTTAATGAAAAATTTTTATTAGAATCACCTGGGGAAACTTATCAAACTATACCTGCCCAGCTCCAAATCAAATCCATCAGTATCTCGGGGGACGGGGCCAAGTATTCTACGTTTTTTAAAAAGCTCCCCTGGCAAGTCCTAATGTAGGCTCTAAGTTGAAAAAAACTAGACTTGATCAGTCTTGGCTCTCCATCAGAATCCCTCAGAGAATATCCTAAAATACACATTTCAGGGTGTAAAAGTTTGGATTATATTAGTTTGAGCTCCTTGGGGCTATTATGACATGGGCTCTTTGAGCCACTGAACCAGATGATCCATCCCTGGGGTCCTTTCTAACTCAGAAATCCCTATGAAATAGAGGATGAAGAAAAATAAAAAAGACATTAAGAAAGGAAAATGGGATTTTATCTGAGTTTTTTAACTGAGTTCCCAAGTCAAAAGAAACAACACCTACCTATTCTGAAATAAGACCATGCCTAACCTGTGTAGAAAGGCTTAACTAATAAGGGTTGGCTGGTTAGCTCACTTAGTTAGAGCGTGGTGCTGATAACACCAAGGTCAAGAATTCAGATCCACTTACTGGCCAGCAGGCCCCCTGTCCCCCAAATTTAACCTAGCCTTCAAAATGAGGTTTCTCTGGTTAAAAGAACTTCCGCTTCAAAATATCTTCTTCCCTCAATCACAAGCATAAAATAGACCTTACAAACATTACTATTTCAAAGTAAAAACTACTTGCAAAAGGTAGTTATCTTGTATACTACTGCCTTCTCAAACACTGCATGCAACAAATGTTCTCAAACCATCTCCCCATTTCCTGTATAAAGCAAGCCCAAACTCATCCTGGTATTCAAAGTTCTCCATAATCTGTTTTTATCTATTTCCAATTACTTCCCCCAAACACAGTTATATCAATAATCTCATTATCTCCTAGACAAATGTCTGAATGTACGTGAAGTTGCTGCCATTAGGAGGTGGGGAGTATTAGTAAGTAGAAGGTAAATAAACTGAATTAAAGATCACAATTTTCCCCATTCCTATGTCTTTGTTCATACAAATTCTAATATTTTATCTGTCCAAAGTGCCATTCATCCTTCCAAAGCACTTTTCAAGCCCAAGTCCCACCTCCTTCCAAGAAAATGTCCCTGGTTAATTGAGTCCCTACATACTTTATCCACACTGCCACACTTCCTAAAGTATGGTGACTGCATAACAAATATTTGTTGAGTTTTATGTTAAAAGTTTTTTTCTAGTGGGAAAAAGTTTATAATCATTATAGCCAGGAGCCTAAATAAATCTAACTATTAGGTATAAAGTTACTCCTTCAATTTTTTTTTTTTAAGGTGCATGAAAGTCAGGACGCAATAGTCAATATTTTTCAAAGGGAGGAATTTTTCCTTAAACTACAGAGTAGTTTAATTTCTTAAAAACGCCCTCAGAGAGACTACAAAGACATCCTTCTGAGAAAGCATTATAAGACCTGTTAGGAACCATCTACTCCTCGTTATTTTATAAACCCAGAAAGTCATGTCTCAATAGGCCAGTCTATGGCAAAACTAGGACTAAAGTCTGGGTCTACTATTTTTTTGTCTTTTCTTTTGTTCATTCAAATCAATCATTTATCCATTTACCAACATTTTTTAGGTGCTGGAGTTAGAGGGAAAAAACCAAGAGACCTCTCCCCAAACCCATCCTCCAAAGTGCTTACATTCTAATACTGAGGCAAAGACAAACAACATCAGTAAACAAATTTTATGTAATACAGTAGAAAGTGTTAAATGCTAAAGAGAAAAAAAAAAGGACAGTGAGGGGATTAAGAAGTGGGAGTGGCCGCTTTCATATTAAGCAGTCACGGTAAACTACTGAGAAGGTTGACATTTGAGCAAATAGTTGGGGAAAAAACCACAGAAACAAACTTTGGGGACATCTGGGGGAAGAATCAATGCAAAAGCTTCAAGGCTGGAGCAAGTCTGATCATTTGAAGAAATGTAAGGTATCCACAGTAGCTGGAGTAAATTGAATAAGCAAAGGCTGTAGGGGAACTAAAGTCACAGAAGATGAGGGATATTTTGCAGGGCCTTTTAACTTATTCTGAGTACTTCAGGCTTTTATTCTCGGATGGGAAGACTTAAGCAGAAGGAAGAAATTATCTGACTATGGTTTAAAAGGATCAATCTAGCTACTATGTTGACATGCGGGGCGGGGGGGGGGGCGGCGCAAAGAGAGAAGCAGAAAGAACAATTGTTTGGAACAAAGTCGTTAGACTCAGGATATATATTTGAAGACAAAATCAGTAGGCTATGCAAATATGCTTGTAGTATGTGAGGGAAAAGAATCAGAGACCCTGCCAAGGTTTCTGGCCTCTGCAACTAGAAGAATGGAGATCCCCTTAATCTGCTCAGAGATCTTTTGAATACACATTAGTTTTAATCAAATCTGTTTTTACAAAATGTATGCTCAAGCACTACACTGATGCAACTAAGAGTAATCATACAGTATCCTCCCCCCAAGTACATAAGTTCACTATAGCATATAAAACCAAACACTGGATCCTTTAAATTTATATTGTAACATACCAAAATGAATGAAAACTACTAAAAAGAGGATGAGCCAATAAAAAGCATCCAAGTAGCTAAAACACTTTCATGCAGTTAACATTTTGAGTGTCTACTGTGTGCAGGGCAGTGTGAAACTCTGAATAAGAAAATAAATAAATCAGATTCCACTATAATGAGCTTATGTTCATCTAGCCTCAGACAAGCAGGCAAAGTATTACAGTGACAGTGCTATCACAGACGTTTAGAAAAGGTGATGTGAAAGAAGAAAACGGTAGAGGCTAACTGTAGAGGCTGATCAAAGTGAGGCTTTACAGGGATCTACATGATTACTTAAAATTCCTCAAAATATACTTAGTATATTTTGAGCTATAATTATTCATATTAAACTATACACTAAATGTTTTATGCCCTTTTCTGTATGCAAGTTGTTATATTCCACAATAAAATTTATTTGGAAAAAGGTATACTCATGTTCAATAACCATAAACAGAAAGGTTATTACTAGATAAGAAAAATTCATAAAGTTGCACTCCACACCTGTCATGGCAATGCCATTCTGGGTTTAAACTGGGTCAGTGTCGCATGGCTGTGGCATCAAGCCTGAGTGGCAATAACCTTAAGGCTGTTGTACTATGAAATAGACAGCAACAGGCAGAGGCCCAAGAAAAAGGCCAGGAGAATCTCCTATCCTTCAATCCCAACCCTCAGTCAGACTCAGGATCAAGCCCAGGCTGCCCAGGCCTAGAGAACTCCCAGAAGACTGAGGTGAGCTTCTGTTTTACACAATGACCAAAGGAACTGGAATGGGTCACAGCTGAATGTAGTCTTAATACATCTACAAGAAAATATAAAGCTGTCCTACATAAATCAAAAAAATCACATAAAAAAGAAAATCAAAACCGAAAAAGGAATAAATGGCAGAAGGAATTGTGCTAAGCCTGATTACAAAACAGGGCAAAAGAAAGCAAGCAAAAAGGAAAGAAAAAATTAGTTTATAGTTTGATTAATTGCTTCTCCTTTACCAGTTTCAGATGACATATGTAGTCGAAGTATAAGATAAGAAACACCACCCCTTAATTTGCAATAGAGTTAAGATGTAATTTCACATACTCACTCTCCTATATCACCATGAGCAGGTCAATCTTCCCTACCCATCTTAAGATAAGCCAGTGACCCCACTGCAGACCAGTTCCACAAGAACTACTCTGGGTCACCTGGACAAGACACAGCTGTCCACAATGCCTTATAACCCTATTAAGATAGGAACCTCAACTGCTTGACAAGAATTTTGAAGACAAAGGTGTTCCAAGCTTCTGCTCTTCCCACTCAGCTCCTTCTCTATCCAGAAGTTTCAATGCTCTTCTATCTCCCATCCTCAATAACATTTCCATCTTAGCAATTGCTGTGTAATTTCACAGATCAGTCAGAAAAAGGGATAACAAACGATATAGTGTACTAGACATGGACACTGAAGACTGTTGTGTTAAGGAAAAGAGGTCTCTTTTAGCAACAGAACCAACTTGGTCTCTATGCTTTCCCCCTCAGTTTTATTTATCAGGTGTGAAATTTCAATAAATATATTGAAAAAAGACACAAGAGCAGTGTGTGTCAGAAAGAAAATGCTTTACAAACAGTCCTGAGTTTAAATTTAACTACCTCTTACAAGACTCTAAAATGTAAGATTTCCTCTAAGCATTAAACATATATACATAAATGAACCTTTATTTAGCACATACTCAAGATACATAACATTGTTTTCCTTTCTCCTTTCAAGGCACAGGAGCATTTAAAAAAAAAAAAAAGCTGACCGAATATGAAAATTAAAATAATACAATCGTATGGAAAAGAGTACAGAGGAATAACTAGAACCTGTATTCTTTCTCCGGAGAGGAAAGGAATCATTATTCTGAAAAGGGACTCTAAATACTCACTGAACGGTTTGGAAAGCAATACCTAACCTTTGACAGAATCAAAACTAGTGTCTGGAACCAAGAATCACCTAGCAATGGTTATCTCTCTCTTTTTTTTTTCCCTTTTGGAACATGGCACTTTAAGAAATTCAATACTAACACGCAACAAAGTAAATCCTTAAAAAGAAAAGCCCCACCATCCCTCTAATCCCCCAAAGATAAATTTATAATTCAACATCTGATCGCCAAATCTAGATCTATCTCATAAAAAGGCATGTACAACCCAGGAAACTCTGGCAAATCTTGGAGCAGGATGGGAAATGATAATACCAAACCACTTTACTAAAACACAGAGGGGAAAATCACCCCATTTCAATAACTGAAAACAAACAAAGCACTTAAAGTGACTGCTAACTTGAGCAACAGCTCTGGAATCACATACCCAAATCTCAGCTCTGCACTCACTTGAATCTACGCCCTGAACAAACTACCTGACCTCTTTGACTCTCAAAGAGTGTCTTTATTTTTTAAAAATTGGAAGTAACAGTAAAATGCTTTATCTTTAAAACTTGTGTTTATCATTAAAAAATCGTACGTAAAATGCTTAAGAGTGCTCAAAGACTTCTATTATTTCAGTGCTACATAGAGACCAAATGCATGTTAATACATCATTGGGGAAAATTCCATGGCTTATTTGTGAGACTAGGTTGAATAGTGTCCCCTCAAAATTTATGTCCACCAGGACCTGTGAGAATACGACCTTATTAGAAAACAGAGTCTTTATAGATGCAATCAGGTTAAAATGAGCCCTTTAGTGTTGGCTCTAACTCCAATATGACTAGTGTCCTTCTAAGAGGGAAATTTGTACACAGGCACACAGAGGAAAGACAGCTATGTTCAGATGGAAGCAGAAAATTGTAGTGATGCAGCTATGGGCCAAGGAACACTATGGATTGCCAGCAACCACCAGAAGTTAGGAAGAGGCAAGGCAGGATTCTTCCCAAGAACATTCAGAGGGAGCAGGAGCCTGCCAATACCTTATTTTAGATTTCTAGACTCCAAAACTGTGAGAGAATAAATTTCTGCTGTTTTAAACCATCTAGTTTGTGATACTTTGTTAAGGCAGCTTAGGAAACAAATACATCTGCTGAAAAAGACATTGTATAAATATAAATAGTTAATAAGGTTGTGAGTTTTCTTGACATATCACTTATTGGGACTATCATTCTAGTTTTATTCTTCCAGTAAGAAATACATAACAGACACTACATATTCAGACTGCAGACAAAGAAAATGTATTATAAGAAATTATCAAGAAGGCTGTATTTTACAGACCAAGAAACTGAGACTCAGAAATGTTAAGTGACTTTTCTTCCCAAGGTCATATAGTTATCTGGTAGCAAAGCAGGACTAGAACCAAAGATTACCAAGTGCAACTCTGGTGCTGCTTTTATACATTATGCTCTGAATGACAAAATTGTTGGATAATCAATATATATACATACTACATAATTATCTTCCAGATATTTAGAAATATCTAAGATTTTTGAAAGTTCCCCAGAACTGCTCTGTCATTACTTCTGAGTGATGAGCTAAAGAGTAAGGCAGGAGTCAAAAGTGAGGTAAGAGTATCTTCTCATACAGCTAGTGAGACAGTAAAGTGACACACAATGCCAAAATACTTCTCTAAAATATGCATCGAGAACATAAAATTATTCATGTCTTCGACTAAGGTAAAGATGTTTATCATGGCATGCTTTATAATATTTTTTTTAAAGCATAATTTAAATAATCAAAAAGGAAAGGTAATAGAATAGAGCCAATAAAAATAATGTTTTCTTAAAAAAAAAGGCCGGGAAATGTTCAGGGTACATAAGTAAAGAAAGATGATTATGTTTAAAACAAATTATTTATGTGCTTGGGGAAAAAAAGTAGTATAAGAAAATACACCAAAATGTTTGTAATGGGTTAATTTTGTGTTTGTTCGGTGGTTTTTTTGGAGGAGGGAGGAAAAGCTCTTTTACATTTCTGCATAATGTCCAAGTTTCTTAAGAACTGATACACAGTATTTCAATTCTAAGACATACTTTTCCACATGTAAACACCTTTTAAATCAAGATACATCTTACAATTGCTGTTATGCCCTGGCTTAACTGAAATTATTTCTATGTGGTACATAAAATAATAGTGCGTTTTACACTCAATCGCACCTTAAGTTCTATGAAACATGGTAGTTTTACACTGGAGAACTAATATAACATATCATACATATATAAACCCACATACATATACATATGCTTATGAATATATATAAAATAGATGAAGCAATAAATATAACTACTATGGTACTAATCTCTGTTACCGAGAGACTAGTTCTCAAATATAGAAATTCCCACTTAACTTCTTGCTATAAAAACCTAGAAACAGACACTGAAGAAGTACATGTCCCTGACAGAGAAAGACTGGTTTTTCTCCTTGGGATAGGCATATTCAGTCACCTCCGTGCTATTCTCAGACACCATTCCAGTTAGGAAAGCTAGTTAGTTGGTTAGAAAAGCTAGGGAAAGCAAAATATTCACCACTCTGGAATACTTTTTAGTTTTGCTCTAGCTAATTTTTAAAGAAGCTAGGAACAAATTATTTTTAAAAATAAATAAATAAAAGTGAACCTCTGGACTACACTCTCAGTTATAATATGCTCTACTGAACTTATAGAGATTTATATATAAGCCCAATTTGGAAAGAAGCTAGAAGAACTCTCCAGCGGAATTTTTGCAATGAAAGTTTAAATTATCAGATACTGAAGGCTGCAGAATGCTTTTAATTTAAACTTTGATAATTTTGTTCATCTTGCAGTTGGTCACCCTTTTCTTTTTAGCCTACTAATTAATTTAATGCATTCCATTCACAGTACAACAATTTTCTTAAGACTTTGACCAGCACTAAGGACAAAGAAGTGTTATGACACCTATTTTTGAGAAGTAAACTTTATCTAGACCCATGTGTTAGTCATGGAACTCAACCACACCCTACTAATACGAAAAATGTTTTGCAAGAATGTAAGCTCTATGAAGGTAGGATATTTGCCCACCACTGTGATTGCACTATAGAGAACAGTGCTGATACACACTAGGCACTCAATATTTGTTGAGTAGATTTGTTTTGCATGCAAATTTCTCCTTCAGTCAAATCCAAACTGAGCAAAGGACTTTCTTCTAAGTTGATTTGTCAAGAAGAAAAACTATACAGTGTCACTGTCAAAGGTGAAAGCTGTATGGTAACAGTCAGTCCACTGTTCAGTAGAACAGAGGAAAATAAAAATCCTAGTAGCCAATGTCTAATTTTGCCTGAACAATCTCCTAAGAAAAATCCTATTTTTCCCTCAAGAAAGCAAGGGAAGCTTAGCAGTAAAACAGGAACACATTTAAGCAAAAAAAGCAAGATGAAAACGCTCAATAGTCATCACCACTTCTCCAGAAATCTAACAACAAATATGACAACTACAGTCACTGGCTTACATTATATCATCTTTTTTTCATGTGTTTTCTGTTATCCCAGTCCCCTACACTGTTTTGTTCTAAACACATGTTCAACTAAACATTATACTCTAACAGTGCTTTCTGCACTACATCAGGTTCTTAAACAAGTTAAACCACTATATCAGATCATTAAACCATTTACCTTGACATAGTTAAGAGTTATTGAAGGCATGGAAAGGATGGAAGAAAAGGGATAATGATAAGTTTTTAGATGGGCTGAAAAACACCAGACACTTTTCCCTTACCTTATTAGCACGTATCTGTTTGTAAATATCTGTTTGCTGCCGAATTCGATATTCCAAGTCAGAAACATGAGCCTGAAGCCAGTTCCAGCGGCTGACAATAGCTGCTCGGTCTTCAGCCCATCTCCATTCTGACCTGCGTCTCCTAAAAGGAAATAAACTGAGTGAAATCCAAGAGTAGCAGTAACATCTATATACCAAATGGGGTAAAGGGTGGAGGTGGGGTGGGTAACTTTTAACTTCTAAAGGCCCTTGTATAGACTAACTCTAGTGTCAAGAAAAACCCAAGGCAGACAGAGACACAGACACCACCCCCCCCACACCCCCGACACACACAAATAAAACCCTTCATAGAGATACTTCCCAAATTAACTAAGTGTAATAATATAATTATTTAAATAATACAATTATTTACATTTAAATAATTATAAATTATTATATAAGAATAACTTATATGAAAAGTTCAAAGGACACTACAAATTATTAAGGCTAATCAAGAATTCAGCAAAGTTGCTGAGTAAAGATCAACATACAAAAACTAATAAAAAAGTAGAAAACGTTCTTTTTAAAAAAGCACTATTCATAACACCAACAAAAGTTAATATTACATATAAAAATCTTTACAGAGAAAATAATTAGACTTGAAAAGCATAAAGATTTTCGTAAATGGTGGAATACATTTTTTAGGAGGCAATTCTCATATACATCTATGAATTCAAAGAAATTCCAAACAAATTCCCTACAGAGGTTTTTGTTTGTTTGTTTTTGTTTTTTTAAAAAAGATGACCAGTAAGGGGATCTTAACCCTTGACTTGGTGTTGTCAGCACCACGCTCACCCAGTGAGCTAACTTAGCCATCCCTATATAGGATCTGAACCCATGGCCTTCGTGTTATCAGCACCACACTCTCCCAAGTGAGCCATGGGCCAGCCCTCCTTTGATGGATTTTCTTATAGCAACAGAAACAAAATTAACTAGAAGTATATGTATCAACAGGACTAAATCTCAGAAGACAATGTTGCATGGAAAAATCATATAAAAACAAAAACTAAACTAAACAAGAATAAGTACTATTACGTATAAACAAGTAATAAAGAAATTTAATAAGTTAAATTTCTTAGCAATTGATTTAATTAGCAATTGAATTACTATGTGTATCAATATGACTAAATCTCAACAATGCAGAATGGAAAAACATGAAAACTAAAAAAAAGAGTAAGTAAACAATAACGACTATTACCAATAGAGATTATTAATGAATGTATAAAAACATGCCTAGAACTGATACACAACAAAGTCATGGTTGTAAATTCAGGGTCCTCAGGACCTCTGGGAAGGGGAATGGAGAAGTTGAATTTTACCTCTACTTGTAATGTTTGATTTCTCTTTAAAAGAAAATCTGGTAGAAATGTGGCAACATTTTAACACTCTTCAAATATTCGCACATGGCACCTGCTATATTCTGTAATCAAAATATTTCCTAATCTACCACAAAATTATTTTTGCAGAAAGAGTCAGTCACACCGCACTTAGCCCCACTTCCAATCAGGATATACATACTAACTCATTACTAAATATTTTAAGTGAAGAGTCAGTCACACTGCACTTAGCCCCACTTCCAATCAGGATATACATACTAACTCATTACTAAATATTTTAAGTGACTATACATGAACTTTAACACAGTCCACCAATATGGCAAAATACAATATAATGTCAATAATAGAGGACAAATGTGACCATAGTGGGGTCAGAAATTAGTTAATACTTAATACTTAATTAAGACCAAGGATAGCAATGGTATTTTAACATTTATATGGTCCAAACATAAGCCATTCAAGTCAACCACTGTGATAGAGGATTATCCAATTCTTTCTCTTTTAGAAATCAGTACAAGATAAAAAGATATTTTTAAAGTCCAGTTATCTGCTTCAATGTTTGCTGCAGGTCTAGTTCTAACCCAAATCCAGAAAAGGGAATCAAGAGATTGAGAATAACCTACGGATCATTCCTGAACTAAAATCCCACCTTTTCTAAAAGGGACAAAGCTAGTTAACCCTCATTTCCTATACCCAACTTTCATTAATCTTCAAAGCTCACCATCTTCTATCCTGTAAAATCTCTTGGTTTATAGGTTCTTTTCATTTTTAAAGCTACCACCATACCAAGTCCCTATCTATCACTGCTGGACTACTACAACAGCCTCCTTAGCTACTCCTCCCAATACCAGTCAACTACACAACTTGACCTAAATGAACTCCCTTCAAACCTATTTCTTCCTGTCACTCTTATGTTTAAGGAATAACACAGCCCATTTGCTTCTTTTCAAATCCTGAGCCTTCAAGGAAACAATACCATATAAAGGGAGCCAAGTATTATAAAAGATAGCAATTGGAAGCCAAAAGGTGGTAATAAAATTAACTGAACATCCATTTAATGATAGTTTACTTACAGACAAATTTAACGAATTGACAGTGGTTAGCCAAAATAAGACCCTACTGATGAAAACCAAAGTAAGAGAAAGATAATTTCTTAGCAAATTTATGCCACTTCTTTCTTAATCACTCTGGGTGGACAAAGAATCCTGGCAGTCTCTCCCCATGATTCTGAACGTAGCTCATCAGCCTTCTGACAAGAGTGTTCCAGGACACCAGGCACTCTAAATTGGCAGGAAAAAATGACATCTATTTGTTATCTCTTGAGTTTAGACATTTTAACCAAAAGAATTTTTTTTTCTTGTCTACTGTCAAGGGGGAAAAAGACCACTTATATTTTTGTTTGAAAGTTTGAAAATGCAAAAAAAGGAAAAGAAAATTACTTAAAACATTTTAGTTCACAGGAACTTTGATAAATACCTTTTTTTTGGAATATTAATGAAAATCCCTTTTCAACTTTCCTAAGGCATACTACACAGATATTCTAAGTAACAGTACAAACCAAGCCACCTGATAATAGTTTTTGGAGACTGGCTAATAAACTAAAGAAAGGCAGCACTAAGGGAATACTAGCAATCCCCAACTTCTGAAGAAGTTTTATTCTACAAAAACACCTGTTATATGATGGTTTAGAACTGGATGTGATTTCCATTAGAAAGTTGTCACAATGTTGTTATTCCATAATGATGCTCAAACTCTATTATCTGTCATGAAAAATGGAAAACTCCACCCCAAGTGTCCAAAAAGTACCTTGTGTTCAAAATACGAGCAATATGAGCAGAAAGTTGGGCTGTTAGCAAAGGTGAGACGTGTAGAGTTAGCAAGTCTCGGCTGAGCTGTGAAGATATTACCACATCCCAGTGGCAGAGCAGAACGCCACAAAACATTATGGCAAGAATAAGAGCTTCACATCTTATGTTTTTTTCCTTAACAAAAACAAGCCAAAGAAACTGAGTTCATCAGAGGTAAAGCTAGATTTTCCCCCAACAGCCACAACGTAAATTTATTATACTGTAATAAACTTACAGCTCAAAAATAGGAGACACTGATTTAACATAATAGACATGTTTAATGTCATCATACAGATATCAAAAAAAAACACAGAATGATCCTTTAAACATAACGATGACTTGGTTTCTAATGTAATCATCAAAAATGAAGAAAAAGATGTGGATTCCAACATTAATGATGGGGGGATTGGGGGTGTGGCCAGTGGATACAGGAATCAAACCCTGGACCTTGGTGTTACCAGCACCAAGCTTTAACCAACTGAGCTAACCTTGATGAGTCTTTAAACTCTTGACTGTTGCTTGTTCTATGCTAATTAGTGAAATAATTGCTTTAACTGCATCTAAAAGCAGGACACTAGAATGCCTTCTAATGTATTATTTTGCTATGTGCTTTATTCCAGACTTGTACCAAAATATTTGTCTACACGTAATGTGGCTATTG